CTGCGCCAGCGGCTGCTGGGAGCACCGGAAGAAAACTGACCCGGACACAAAGCGGCGTCCTTGCCGTGACGGCTGCAAATCCCCAGTTAACCTGGGAGGCAGCCTGGGCCCCGCTCTGGAGCAGGGGGAGCGACAGGGGGCTGAGCCTGTGCCCAGGTGCTCCCAGAGCCCCATGGAGAAAGGGGAACTGCCCCAAAGGGAGGCAGACCCTGCAGCTCCGTGTCCCCCCCGCAGCGTGAGTGCATCTCCATCCACGTGGGCCAAGCGGGCGTGCAGATCGGCAACGCCTGCTGGGAGCTCTACTGCCTGGAGCACGGCATCCAGCCCGATGGGCAGATGCCCAGCGACAAGACCATCGGCGGCGGCGACGACTCCTTCAACACCTTCTTCAGCGAGACGGGCGCTGGCAAGCACGTGCCCCGCGCCGTCTTCGTGGACCTGGAGCCCACGGTGATCGGTGAGCACGGGGCTGGCCGCGGGGCGGGGGTTGGCTGTGCTGGTGGCACTGGCACTAACGGGCTGCGTGACCTTCCCTTGCAGATGAAGTGCGCACAGGGACCTACCGGCAGCTCTTCCACCCCGAGCAGCTCATCACGGGCAAGGAGGATGCGGCCAACAACTACGCGCGGGGCCACTACACCATCGGCAAGGAGATCATCGACCTGGTGCTCGACCGCATCCGCAAGCTGGTGAGAACCCCCCTGGTGCCCGCAGGCAGCTGAGCCTGGGCTGTGCGCCCTGCTTCAGGGAAAGCTCCTGCTGCCTTTTGCAGCCCTTAGGCCTCTGGGTGCTGATGCTGGGTCCAGGTCCACATTGTCCACAGATTCTGGGGATGCAAATGGGAGCCTTTATGGCTCCCAGCAGCTTGTCCATGCTGCTTCTGGGCCCTTCTGACCTCCCAAATGTGTCCTTGCAGTGACCTGCAAGTCAAACACCAAACTGGGCCCTTCAGGGAGAATTGTTGGAGGGAGGACCCCATCCTGAACTGGGAAAATCTCCTTCCTACCCCTTTTCAGGGTCATCTTAGGTTTCCCCTTGCTGTGGACTCTGATCCATCTTTGCAATGTGCTTAGGTGCAGCAGGGCAGCGAGTTGAGCCCAGCTGTGCTGCTGTAGAGCTGCCTGCCCACATTGGAAGGGGAGTGTTAATGCCTGCTTAGCTGCCCTTAAAAAGGGAGCCAGGATCTGCTCCAGTGCCACCGCTGAGATCCTGCAGTCTCTGACAATGAAACACTGTAAACTCAGGAGATGGCTCTGGTGACAAGCAGGACTGGGCAGACAAGCCTCTAGCCAGCAGAGCTAGTGGCCAAGTTAGTATAAGCAGGGGACAACAGTAAATGTCTCTTCTGCCCTTCTCTTCTAGGCTGACCAGTGCACAGGCCTGCAGGGCTTCCTGGTCTTCCACAGCTTTGGCGGTGGCACCGGCTCCGGTTTCACCTCCCTGCTCATGGAGCGCCTCTCCGTTGACTATGGCAAGAAGTCCAAGCTGGAGTTCTCCATCTACCCGGCCCCACAAGTGTCCACGGCTGTGGTGGAGCCCTACAACTCCATCCTCACCACCCACACCACCCTGGAGCACTCCGACTGTGCCTTCATGGTGGACAACGAGGCCATCTATGACATCTGCCGCAGGAACCTCGATATCGAGCGTCCCACCTACACCAACCTCAATAGACTCATCAGCCAGATTGTGTCCTCCATCACTGCGT